CTAATCACACCGTTATGTTTGGACTGCGAGTTGTCTCGCAGTGACTGTTGGGCGCAATGAAGAGCTGATCCCAAGTCTTGCAGCAAATCCTCGATGTTTTCGATGCCGACCGACAGCCGCAGCAATTGGTCGTCGACTGTGAGGGCCCGCAGGTGTTCTCTGGGGACCGACAGGTGGGACATACGGGCCGGCAGTTCCACACGAGACTCAACGGATCCCAGACTCACCACCAGTTTGAAGAGTTTCAGATTCTTGAGGAACGCCTTCGTCTCTCGGACTGTACCTCTCAGACGGAACGACATCTGAATCGAGAGGTTTGCCATTTAATATGGATTATAATCTATGCCTCGAATGACATACCATTCCACTGAAGCCCAGACACTGTTTGCGGGCCAACTCGTGCTGTGGATGAGACTCGAGGCCTGAGTGCAGCACTTGAGTGACCATTGGGTGAGACTCCAGATACCGGGCCACTGCCAGACCATTGGACTGGTGGATAGCCATACGGGCGGTCAGAGTCTTAAGGCCGCGGTTTGCGAGGAAACAGTCGAAAGGCGACGGAACGGTACCCAAGGCTTATGAGAGGACAGGGATGTTGTGGTTAGTCCTACAGATTATTAGTAATTTATATACCATTTTGAAGAAACGCTAGCCTGGAGTACAGGTCCTCGCGATTAGTCATAACGGCGCCCATAATCACGTCAGAGTGACCTATTGTGAGAGGGGGACAGGGATTAAAAACTTAAGGAAATGGTATTACAATAATGAGTCAAACCATTGATATATTTAGTGACCGAATGGACGGATAAGTCGGCGCCGAAGTCAAGGGGCCGTTGAAAGACAGGACTCATGAGAGTGTTGTCGACAGCTATGATGGCGTCGACGGCCCGGGAGTCTCTTAACGCTGACAGCGCCCGCAGGTCTACCACTTTCATGAGGGGGTTGGACGGCGTCTCGACCCACAGGAGTCGGGTTTGGGGTCTGAGTTGAGCCGACACTGACGATAAGTCCGTGAAGTCGGCAAACGTGACGTCCACTCCCTGTCTGCGCAGGCATTGAGTGAAATACCGGTGACTCCCGCCGTAGATATCGTCGCAAGAGAGCACGTGATCGCCGGCTGACAGGAGATGCGCGCACGTGACTACGGCTGCCATACCGGAGCCATAAGCAACGGCATGACGGGCCCCTTCCAGGGATGCCAGGGCTGCCTCCAGGCATTTGCGCGTAGGGTTTCCCGATCGGGAGTAGTCGTACTCCTAAGTGAGAGCACATATAGTAAATGTGAAGTAAGGGATGAGTGAGACATACATTTCCTTTGAACTCGGGGTCAAAGAGCTGTTCCACTGAGAGCTCAAAAGTGGTGGAGTTAATGATGGGTGCGATGAGCGACCGGTGCGTCCACTGGTCCGGGGATTGTCCCGTATGTATGGCTTGAGTGGATGTGTGAGACATTGTGGTCCTAGAGTGGTTGCAGTGCGAGTGTAGACTGTTTGATGACTTTTAAGACTTTTATGTATTACTAGCACTTGGAGTGCAGTTGTTATCACGAAATGTGATAAAAGTTTTTTAGCCGATCATGAGATCGATGTAACAAATGATGTAATAATTAGTGATTGATTTCACTTTAGTTTTGGGTACGACTACTGGGAACAGATGTGAAGTGACAGTTGACACGATTTGTGAACATGGCCTTTTATGTTTCCAGTTATTAATTATGTTAAACAAAGCAATGGAAATTAATTATTTTTATTAAAGTGAATTAAATATTTGTATTGACTTTTCCATAAAATATTCCAAACATGCTTTCAAATTATGAAATCCAATACCGGTGCCCATGTATTGATATCTTTTATCTTATAATCTCTTAATAAGCTTAGAACTGTATACAAAGTGCAACAAATAAATTAATGTTTAGAAACTATTTATTTATTTAATGTAAATATTGTAACCTAAATAAATAATTTTAAATCTAAATTTATAAAATTAGTTTAAATTTATATAAATTTATTAATTTATGGCTATATTTTCAATGAGATCTGCGATCACATCCTTATCATTAGATTTCCTAATCCTCTCTCCAATTGCTTTCATCCTTTGACTCAACTCTAAATCGTTAACCAATTTGTCGACTGATGTCAACAATTCCTCTTCAGTGCAGTGGAAGGGACTGACACTTAATCCGAGACCCCTTTCCTGTATTCTCTGTGCGCTATCGAACTGATCCCCGAAGAGAGGCATTACTAACATAGGTTTGCCGTAAAAGAAGGTTTCGGTGACCGTATTGTTGCCGCCGTGAGTGACCACCAAATCAACTAATGGTAGGATTGCTGTCTGCGGTAGAAAGGGTTGGCCCCACATGTTGTCCGGTAAGTCATACTTGTCATGAAGTGGGCCTTTATTTACAATAAACCTGTGCTTAGATTTGCCTAATATTTGTGTCAAACGTATCATTAGGTCCACAATAGCACAGCCTAAAGAACCCATGGATAGGAGTATGAGTTTTCCAGGTCTACCCCTCAGAGACTCCGGTATTTCAAAAGTTTCATCAGTGGTGCGCACGAAGCCGTCCACTCGTCTCCAATTGGGAGCCAAGGGTTGGAATTCCTTGAAATCCATTTCCTTGGGATACATATAAATGTTGAGGTGTTTGGAGAAGGGATGCAGAAAACAGTTGGACTCCTGAGGCAGTGGTTGTGTGCCCTCAGCCACCAACCAGTCGTCCACTCGTTTGTGGATATTTTCATACATTCCCTCCAATTGTTGCTTAAATTCAGTCCATTTAGCCCTTCCATCGGTTGCTGAGAGACCTATCATTTAAGTAAAACATAAATAATTAGGAAATAGTTTCTAAAATAAAATAAATAATATTAAACTTTATTTAAATTCAAAACTTTAGAATAACTTAATAAACAAATATTAACTAACCTGACCAGGCTGGTGGCAGTTTATCATTGTTAAACACCATAAGTGGACCGGCTGAGTATAGCCATACCCAGGGTATGCCAGACTTCATGATCACCGGTGATGCGATATACGAGTCGATGAAAATGATGTCCGGTTTGACTCTATCGATGATCGCCTTATACTGTATATCCTTATCCTGAACACTCTTAAACATCATCTCAAATCCTGTGACACAAAACTGAGCCACGTCTTTGGGGGTGCCCTTAAACATCTCATAATTCTCGTTAAGCATATGAAATATCGGGTCCACCCCTCCCACCGGTTCGCTCGTTTCGGTGATGAGGTGTTCCTCTTGAAAGCCATACTTCTCGAGCCGACCCTTGAATTTCTTGTCCAAAGCAAACACCACTCGATGTCCGCGATCTCTGAGCCGTTCGGCGATTCCGTGGCAGCCGTTTATGTGTCCGAAGCCCTCCATAGGCGTGAAGAGCACCGTTAGCTTCTTGTCCGACATTATTGTCTGTGTTTTCAGTCACAATGAAATACTTGATGTTTGGGAAAATAAGTGATGGCTTTTATATTGACATTTTGAGATACTCTATAATTATTTGAATACTGATCACCTCGTTATCATATACGTTATCAAAGTGCACGCAATGCACTCAAACTTTAGGAACTTAAATAATATTAATATAGTGGTAGGATATGATGTATACAAATATACTACAATTATTTTATATTAAAATGAGAAAAAGTCTACTGACATAATAAATGTTAAAAGCACCTAACATGGATTAAAATTATACACTATAACAATTTGTATAATGTTGCATTGAGTTTGTAAATTTTGAACGTGTTGGTCATTTTGAGATTTGGTCGAGTTTACAATTGCCACTTTGGTGTGCAATTTTCAAATTATTAACCAAGGACACCTTACAAGTTAGTGATTAAGTTTAAATAATGAGTTTACAAAATAAAAGTTCCAATTATCAGTGCAACCATGCAACTTTTTAGAAATATTTCAGTGATTATTTAATTAGATGTATCAAGGTACACAGTGTTCCAACTTAAAATCACTGACTTTTATCAGATATGTGACTAAAAAACCCTCAAAATAAAAAACCCACAGAAATAAAACCAACAAATTAAAAACCCACACTTTCAAAAAAAACCTACACTATAATAATAATTAAAAAGCAATTCTGAATTAATAATTTTGAAAACTTACCGTTTTGTAATAAATAAAAAGCATTACGATAGCCAAGTTTTTATATTAGGTCGTACAGAAAGGTTGTTTCTGGCTATAATTTAAATTTCTCTGGAATGGCTTAATATTTTCAAAAGCGGTTTGTTTTACTGAATAGCCTAATAATCCGAGAATTTTTTGCACAAAAAATAAATTTTCAATATT